TGTTCCGGAGAGAGGGTTGGGTTATGCGGTTTATTGTGATGCCTCACGAGAGGGTTTGGGTTGTGTGTTGATGCAAGAAGGGAAAGTGGTAGCTTATGGCTCAAAGTGACAAAGTGAACTCAAAGAAAATGACAAAGTGACAAAGTGACAAATATATATGTTGTTTTGTCTCCTCTTGTTTTGATTTATTTATGACAAAGTGAACTCAAAGAAAATGACAAAGTGACAAAGTGACAAATATATATGTTGTTTTGTCTCCTCTTGTTTTGATTTATTTATGACAAAGTGAACTCAAAGAAAATGACAAAGTGACAAAGTGACAAATATATATGTAGTTTTGTCTCCTCTTGTTTTGATTTATTTATGACAAAGTGAACTCAAAGAAAATGACAAAGTGACAAAGTGACAAATATATATGTAGTTTTGTCTCCTCTTGTTTTGATTTATTTATGACAAAGTGAACTCAAAGAAAATGACAAAGTGACAAAGTGACAAATATATATGTAGTTTTGTCTCCTCTTGTTTTGATTTATTTATGACAAAGTGAACTCAAAGAAAATGAGCAGTAAGGAAATGAAGTCCTGTATAGGAGTAGTTTTGTCTAGGACATGCTTCTTTATTCTTCTAATAAGGAAATGAGCAGTACCTTCAAAGAAAAACATAGAACAAGGTTTTTCAAAAATAAAGAAGCTCGGCACAGATAAGTGAGTAGACAATGGAGCATGAAGCGTGAAGACGATTCACTAATATATTATCAGCAACTGTGAAGACGATTCACTAATGCCATGTTCATCTGGCTTCAAAGACAATGGAGCATGAAGCGTCAGTTTTGGCAATACCTTTCAACTTAACAAGCTCATATCAATGGCTATAGAAGAGAAGCAAAGAAATTCAGTTATATATATATATATATATTTTCACACATATATATGACACAGTTATACATACCCAAATTACTGCTATACAGGACTTCAAATATAGTAGAACTAGCGTAGTTAGAAATTTCATTCAATGGGATCATTCAAAAAGTTGAGTAGAGAATTTTATGACATAATTTTAATTCTACACATACCTCAAGTAATGGGGAACACCATATTGGTGAAACAGTTGGAGGAGTTGCTATTGCCTTTTCCAACATTTCTGATAAAAATTCACTAATGTTTCATTACATTCATGAATTTAAATGCATGCAATTCAACAAAATTAACAGCACCAAAAAAAGCTAGTTTTCCCAAACAAGAAAATTAACGAGTTTTAGAACATGTTCACCAATATCTATTACATCCACTACCCCTTCCAGAAAGAAGGGTGATTCTGGAATCAAACAACAGTCCACATCTCGGCTGGCAAGTGTAGCATACATTGCAATGAAGCCTGCACCAGTAAATCTGAGAAAAATGAAGGAAAATCTGGATAATGCCAGTGAAGCTAATCTAAAAAGGAAAAGCATTGATGAAATTATTAGATTGAGTTAAAGTTTAAAACACTACGGAAAATCATACATTCAAAATCTCTGGAAGTTTTTATTTGGTTCATTTATTTTGACTGCTTCCAAGCTATGAGCAAATTTTATTAAGCAAGCAAAAGCATGTTCATATGTTGTAGCACCAAGAGCTATATTCATCTTGATTTGTGACTCTAAAGCTTGTTTTGCAATAGCAAGATGCACAAACCTGAATTAAATGATGCTTTGAAGATAGCAAGATAGTGTGTAGGATGGCTTGTGCCCTACTCAGACAGATACAAAAAACAATTGACATTTGTCACGGAAATCTGTCTTAAAATCTACAACACTGAATTTGTATAACTAAAATTTTAAATTTCTATCTTTCTTGCAAAATTTCCATCATTATCAAATGCTTGCAAGAAAATAAAATGAAAATAACTTGAAGATTGCTTTACCTGAATTTCGGCATGGCTACATAGGTAAAAGTCAAATTCATTAGGGTGGCAAATGTGGGTGTCCACAACCGTACCTGATCACAACCATGCAAATAATCATCAATATACAACAATGGGTTCCAAAACAAGGCATCGTACAAACTCATAACAAGGGGCAAAGTCTGAAACCTGGCAGAATGTTGCCACTCCTATCTGTTGAACGACGATCATTATGATCTGCAGGGAAAAGGCGTGTGTGGTGTCTCTTTTGCACCACAACAAAGGTTACACGTGGCAGATAGTGTTCCTCTAACGAAACACAAGCCTGACAAAAAAAGCAGGTTTATATGTAAAAAAATAATGTAAAAGGAGAAATCACTTCGGTACCCAAATATATCAACTGTTACATATCATATCGGCCCATACGTAACAGAATTGGGACAAGCGATACCACTATTCACCGATACATCGCCACTATTCACCGATATATCGCCAGACATATGGCCATATCACCAATACACTAGTGTTATTTAATACCATCCCAATCAGTAAGATAGTATAAACATATACCTTTCGGATTGCATCCATTTCATGGACCAAAACTTGGTTGAATTGACCTTCGCTAACACCATCTCTACAAGATTAAAAACAAGATTAGCATAGTTGTACAGAGCAGGTATTAATAACATTATCATAGTTGCATACCCCTGGAGCATGTATTCACCTGTAGAATATAATTCTATGAGGCTTCTGCCCAGTTGATGTCTTGAAAGCTATTAACAGCTCCCTGAAAAAATGTAAATAAATAAAAAATAAGAAAAGATGTTAAGAAAAATTATAAAAACACATTCAAGTAATGTTGTGGACTTTTTACCTAATCATTCCACAATGAACGGTGCCCCTTTGAGGATCCTGATATGTTTTATAGAGATCCTGGATGATTTCTTCCTTGTGTCCTTGTGCAGAAACCAGTCCTCCGTACTTCGTTACCTCAGGCCAATCCATTGAAGCAACCACCTGTAAAATATAAATCCAACTTTCATCAAAAAAATTCCATGATGCTCTTGCTTAGATGCTAGACGACATACCGCAGCAATGGATGGGCTTGCGTCATCCTCAGGTTGAGAATGAGTTACATCAGCTCCAAAGATGATTGTAGGGCGATCAGTCACAAACGGGATTCTTCTTTCAATAGCGCTCATCAACACAGTGTTTCGACCCCCAACCTATTGAAGTTTAAAACAATTAGCCATAGACACATATAATATAAAGAATAAAATTTAACCTAAATTGATATGAACATTTGAACAGATATACAACCTTCACATTTATCTTGAGAGACAAATTTTCTAGATACTGTTTATTATTATTCTTTTGTGCTTGCCTAGGTTGACAGCATTGTGAGACAATGCCCAACTCTGTTTCACACACTCTTTTGATCTTTCCTGTAAAACATAAAAAATGTCACGCAAGTAAACAACCACATCTCTGAGAAAATTTCAAATTTTGGGTACAACGACAAACCATATGACCCGCTGACATCAGGCAAAACAATAATTAACAACTGAAGTTGCTTCCCTGTCAATCCCATGTTTGCTAATTTTTCAGTAGAACGGGCATGAATATCATGGAGATCCTTCTCAATTTGACCAGGATATGCTGATTTAATAGGAAGGAAAGGCTCATTGAAATCCTTGCACATTCATCAAAAGGAAACAAAAAACATCAGGCTCTTTCTTTCTAGTTCAGCAACGACTGAAATGGACAACTGCATGCATGTAATGATAAATCTATACCATCCCTTTACTACGACACATAGAAATCAATTCACGGCAGAACTCGTCCAAATTAATTCTAGATCGTGAAAAGCTGATGCATGTCCAGAATTCCACCTTGCCACCATTAACCATTTTCTACAAAATCACAAGTACTAAATGTCATCTAGCTGCAGAAGAAACAAAATAGTATTTTTTTAGCTCTAGCCAACAGACAGGAGAAAAAAATAGTGAACGAAAATCAACCATTTGATAGAAATCTAGAATTCTGAAAGATACCATACAGACAAGATTTGTACAATGTATTGTCATTTTTTCTTGATGCATCCAACCCACGGGAAAAAAAAGAACCACATCAATCTACACACTTAAGAATCATATGGTAATCATCCCAGGTTTATTCCACCAATCACCAACAACACAAAAATATAACTACTGTTTCACCTTGTCAATCATGTTCCATACACCAACCCTTGGATCAACCTGTGTCTCTTTCCAAGTATCATGATACTTGAGCTGAACCACCAAAGTCAATGTTAGACTCATTCACACATGGAAAATAAAAATGATTCATTCACAGAAGATTACCCTTGGAGGTGGGAGAACTCGTGCATCAACAGATGCAAGTTCAGCCCTCACTTGAATACCAAATTCTTCATTCACAAGCTTATCGTTGTTGTAATTATTATGGCGAACCATCTGTAGAGTCAATCTATGTCTAGTAAGAAATACTATGGACCAGACATAAAAAGAGAACAATTTCATCACCAAGGTCTTTTTTATTTAATAATCAAAATAACCAAAGTCAAGAACTTCCAGCAACAGAATACATTTAAAATCTGAACACAACTCATACCTGCTTAATACTGCCCTCTCTTACATCAGGACGTTGACAGGTTGCCTTTAGCAGGGCACTCACCTGCTTCTCATTCAACTTTTTAGAGTACCTTTGCCCTTCAACAATCTTGCAAATCTATAGCAAAAGAACTACCATTGTCAACTAAAGTCACAAGTAGTAGCAAACAAGACACAAATAACAGAAAACGTATCAAAATTCGAAATAATTGAAGAAACCTCCATGGGCAGATAAACAGGTTTGGCATCACTTCCAGCTACAAGTGCAGGCAAGAATGTATATTCAAGTATAATATTGTATTTCAAGTATAAAATAGCAATTAAAAAAAAAAAAAAACTAAGCAAGCAATCAAAACTCAAGATTTTAACATTAATATGTTAACCCATAAGACAAGGATATGAAATTGATAAACAATATAAACACATGTATATGTTGTACTTGTATAAAACAGAGGTATATACCAGTCATGGCTAGAATTTTCAGTGGGGAGCAGAGCATCATCAGTGGGGAGCCTCAAATCATCCTTGGTGTTTCCATTTTCAGTCAAAAGACTCACCTAAACAAAATGCAAATTTCAGTTGCCATTGTGACATTTTGTCGAGCACCTTGCAGACACAAAAAGTATATAGCATGATTCATCTTTGCTATACATAGAGAAACTATACAGATGAGAGAAAAAACAATCCAAAATCAGCAACTAAAGATCAAACCATTTCAAAACTGAATTCAAAACTAATTCACTCATCAGATCAGATAAGAACCAGATTTCAGAAAAATAGAGAGAGAAATGGAAGTTTTCTTACCTGTGATAATGGTGGCCCGGAGATCCTTGGTCGATCTAGAGATAATTTCAGAGAGATCAAAGAGGAAGGGCTGAGTCGATCAAAGTGGAATCGCATACGCAGTGACGGTGGTGCTCGTGTGCGATGGCAGTGATGCTCCCGTACCCGACGACGATGGAGACAAAGGCGAGAGAGAGAGTTGGAGGAGGGCAGAGGCGTGAGAGAGTGAGAAAGAGAGAGAGAAAAGAAAGAAGTAAGTTTCCCTCCGAAGTTTCCCTCCGAAGTTTCCCTCAGATATGAAGCACAATTTTTAAATTTTGTAATTATAATCACCGACTAATATTTAGTCGGTAAAAGTAAAATAACAACTTCAAAAAAAATTAAAATAAAAGTAACAAATATATTAAAATTATATTTAAATAAAAATATAAGTAATAAAATTATAAATTAACAAAAAAGGTAAAAATTAAATTATCTTAAATATTTGTCCTAATATTTTTTGTACTGAAAAATATAATAATATATTTTAAAATTTTATATTCTTATATTTTCTTATATTCTTATATTTTATATATATATATATATATATATATAATAAGAAAGAAAAGAAGGAAAGAAATTTTAAAAAAAAGAAAGACAAAATTTTTAATAAAAAATTATGAGCCAGCTCAACCCGTGTTTTTTTTTTTTTGGGACTCCTGCATGACTAACTAGGCACTAATCAATTTTTTAGAATTTTAGAACATGCAATATGTATATTTTCTCATAGATAACGACAGATGAAGAAATCATGTGTCAAGTGGATTTAATTAATTTATTATTCAGTTGTAACTAGCAGTCAAAATCATTTTCTCAAGCATATCTTAGCAGTCAAAATCATTAACGCATAACTAAAAAATATATACGCACAGTCCCAGTTTAGGCCTTCAGTTCAATTAGCATTAAATCGCCAATCACTATTATAGATCCCTCAAATTTAAAAAAAAATATATCTGAATTAAGTGAGTACTTATTTTGTATTTTAAAAAAATCACAAATATTTTCTTTTTTAAATATATCTAAATTAAGTGAGTCTAAAAAATAAACAAATTTGCTTAAAATATTTAAAAAAGTTGAAAAAATTAATTATTAAAAAATTAAGAAAAATTTTAAAATCTGAAATAATATCAATAAGTCTTACAAATCAGATTTATTTACTTATAAGTCATGAGTGAATTTTTTTTACACACTTAGCCCCCGTTTTGATAATGATATTGAAAAATTGAAAAATTTTATTTAAATGATAAATTATTACATTTTAAAAATATTCATTACATTTTAATAATATTAATTTTTCATTACAACCCTACAGAAATTACCATTACCTAAAGGAACACTTTACCATTATTAAACAATCGGCTACCAAACTATATAGTAGCCAAAAGTAGTCCTTTGGCGACTAAAACGTAATTTAGTCGGTGAATCCCCTGTTTTTGGCGACCAAAATTTTGGTCGCCAAAGGTATTTTATAATTTTTTTATTTTCATTCGGCTACCAAACTATTTAGTAGCCAAAAGTAGGTCTTTGGCGACTAAAAATTCTTTTAGTCGCCAATTGTCCTGTTTTTGGCGACCAAAATTTTGGTCGCCAAAGGTATTTTATAATTTTTTTATTTTCACTCGGCTACCAAACTATTTAGTAGCCAAAAGTAAGTCTTTGGCGACTAAAAATTCTTTTAGTCGCCAATTGTACAAAACAAAACAAAAATGCTAGAAAAAAAACAAAGCACTTGAAAATTCCAAACAAATAATGTATTCTCTTGTAAGTTGTGCTCCCATGATGTCAAAAGGCCAAATTAATTAACCCTCCTACAATTAGACCTTATCTCTCCATTATTTCCTGTCAGTGGACTTATATTTCCCATATTGATCATGGATTGAGCAAAGCTAGTGAAGAAGTCCCTTTGGCTGTTTCCAAAGCGGTTAACAATGGCAACGGTATCAGCGCCACTGGTGGAGAACAACTCTTGATCAGACTGGAGAAGCCCCTGCTTGTTCTGGAGGTTAGTGAAATAGTTTTTGTCAAAGCGATTAGGAGTAGTGTGATCAAGGTTGACTAAGGTCACATTAGTATTGACGCCTGCAGGAGTGCTGGGATCTGGGCATGTCTGCTGAAGTGTTTTCGCGTAGGTTTTGTCCATGGTTGGGTCTACATTTCCACTAATGTTGTTATAGTTGTAAAGGCGTGGGGTCACAGTCAAGCATCCAGCCCGTCCGAATGTATGAGCACCTGCAAATGAAAAGAAAGCAATTGTTGTTGGTTTTATATATGACGTGGTGTAAAAGAAAGTGCTTTTCCTCTTCATTTTTCTAATTCTTAATGAAGAAGGAATGAAATTAATGACTTGTTGAGCTCATAAATTTCATACCATGAGTAGTAATTGTAATCAAAGAAAATTAAATGTCTAATCTTTACCAGATAAAGCAACTAGATCGGTAGAGTCGAGTCCAACAGCTCTGAACTTGGCTTTAAGGGCACTAAGGTCTTCATTAAAAAGTGGGAGGCCACTAGTGCCAGCTTTATTTGCTGTCCTGCTATCTCTTCTTCCTAGTTGAACTTTCCACGATGGACCTTTCGACTGCAATAAATTATTTGCATTAATTTATATATTGCTATGACTAATTGACAATATATATAGGGCTTTATTAATCCCAACTTAAGTCCCTTATGTAAGATTCAAGTAATTGAAGCTATTGAGCCATATAGTATTTGGGAGGAAAAATGATACATATAGTCTAACACATTAGGTATTGGGTTGAAACCCGATTGACAATTACATTGGTTTTGCAAACAAAGCCTTTTGTAAATTTTACTCGGCAATATTAATGTTTACCAAAATTAATTTACTTACCAAAACAACTGAAATTTCAGCTGCAATGGCCAAAATATCAGCACAGGAAACAACACCTGGGCAAACATTCTCCAATGCAGTCTTGATGTCATCAACAACAGTAAATCCATTAAGTGCCAAATTAATAGTTGCACCTTTCTCACTCACTATTCCATCTGCATCGTCTAGCAAAAGGGACCCATCGCAGCCCTACATGTATGCACGCAAAGACAGTTAGTTAGTTATACATGAATTGGCATATATAAAGTTACATAAATTTGAGCTTCTTTTTTGCACAAAGACAAATACATAGTACAGGAAGAGAGGGTATTATTACATTGACAAAGCAGTCGTGGAAATGAAGTCGAGTGAGAAAGGCAGCATTTCGGATATTAACTTGTTGAGCCTTCTCCAGTACACCACGTACTATGCTGTAGACATTTGGGCATGTGTTATCATAAAACGTGGGACTCAAATGAGCATTTGATCCTCCAAACACAGCAGCAGCAACCAAGAAGAGTGCTGCAGCTATAAATTGAAATGAAGCCATGAGATGAGAGAACTTCAGGGTTTTCTTTTCACTTGTTTTTGGGTTGTTTCTTATGTTGGATGGATATGTTTAATTGAGAGACTCCTTTTATAGATATCTCATGCAATAAGCGACTCCAGCCACCAGGCTAGATATGGAAAATTCTTCTCTTCTACGTTTCTTTCGAGTTGAATAGTCGCATGGCTGACTCTTTCTTTCCATTTATTTGTTGGAATGAGTGAGAGATCATTTAAAAATAAGGTCAAGTTTGACTATTCTAAATAAGTACACACTTTTTATCTTTTTATCTTTTTCTATCACATCATTTCTTTATTTTTTTTACATCTTTTCGTAAAAAAATAAAAAGTACACTTATTTAGGTCATCCTAAACAACTCTTAAGTTTCCCCTATTATGATTTTCTTTATTTATTTATTTATTTATTTATATTATAAAACTGATTTTATATGAATATACAAGAAATGGATGCACAGTCAAATTAGGAGGCCCAGTCAATCTTTCACTAACATGTCTTATATCTTCTGGGTGTTTATGTGACCTAGCATATCATGGCGCTGTGTGGTACAGTTTTTAAGAAGTGGTTATGATTTATTTTAATTTAAGAGTTTATGTTAGATTGTTTATTATAATTTTTATTTATAATTTATTAGGTATAAATAATTTAAATAAATTTTTTATAAAAAATTAATTATTTAAAAATTAAAATATAAATACTTTCCACTTCAACTTTTTAATTATTAATTTTTAATTAAAGAAAGCCCCACCTAGTAGGTCTACATCCTGTGAGTAGCTCCATGGCCCACTTTAGTGACAATTTTGGAGATTAGTTAGAGGGTTCCCAATCAGATTATGAGGAATGGGGTCCGGAGGCGTGGGATTCTTGCGTTGTCTTGTCATTTTCGTCTCGTGGTATTATAGACTCGTAATCAAATTAATGTTTTGGACAATGGGTTGCTAGAAGTTCAATAGCGGTTTGTGTCCATATTTCTGAAATTGTTAATCTATTTAGTGTAATTGTTAGATTATACATTTAAGTTGTTGAGTAGTATTTGTTAAATAAATTGTGAAGTAATTTTTTTAATTAATTTTTATTTTTTGTTATTTATTACTTGTTTACATCTCTCATAAAAAATAATAATAATAATCTATAGTCCATTTGGGGTTTTTTTTCTATTTTTAAAAAAATAAAAAATAAAAAAATTTAAGAGTATAACCGT